GCCCCACAGGAGGCTCCACCGAAAGCCCCAATGGCAGAGTTCGCATGGCGGCCCCGCCCCATCTCGGCACACCCCTCACACGCTTCGTGGCCCCATAGGGAGCTCCACCGAATGCCCCAGTGGCAGGGGTCGCATGGCGGCCCCGCCTCCATTGCAGCACGCCCCTCACACGCTTCGTGGCCCCATAGGGAGCTCCAGCGAAGGCCCCAGTGGCGAGGTTCGCATGGCGGCCCCGGACCATTTCGGCACACCCCTCACACGTTCTGTGGCCCCATGGGAGCTCCACCGAAGGCCCCAGTGGCAGGGTTCGCATGGCGGCCCTACCCCAGTTCGGCACACCCTTCACACGTTTCGTGGCCCCGCAGGGAGCTCCACCGAAGGTCCGCCACATTTCGGCACACCCCTCACACGTTTCGTGGCCCCATTGGGAGCTCCACCGAATGCCCCAATGGCAAGGTTCGCATGGCGGCCCCGCATCCATTGCGGCACACCCCTCACATGTTTCGTGGCTCCATAAGGGGGCTCCACCGAAGGCCCCAGTGGCAGGGTTCGCATGCCTTCCTCTGCGTATTTCGACACACCCCTCACATGCTTCGTGGCCCCATTGGGAGCTCCGCCGAAGGCCCCAGTGGCAGGCCCCAGCCCACTTCGGCACACCCCGCACACGTTTCGGGGTTCCCATCCGCGTTGCCCCGTGCTCCATCCCTCTTGCGGCGCGCTGCCTGATGTGTCCTTCGCCGGTCAATGTTTTTCTCTGGGGCCGCGGATTGGAACAGACAAGTCGGCGGACGTCAGGAGAGGCCTGCCGCGGTGGGGGGTCGCCTGAAGCCAGCCTGGATCGCCTCCATGATCCACTCCTCGCGAGGGGGGGGTTCAGGACGGGAGGCGGAGAGGCGGAAGGCTGTCGTCGAACGTTGGATTGGGCGTCGTGCCGTTCTTGCGTGAGGGGGCGGGAGGAGGGAGAAAGGAGGGGGAGGGAGGAGGAGGGAGTATGAGGAGGAAGGAGGAGGAAGGTCGTGGAAGGAGGAGGGCAAGAAGAGGAGGATGAGAAGAGGAGGAGGAGGACGAGGAGGAGGAGAAGACGAATAACAATCATAAGAAGAAGAATAAGACGAATAAGAAGAGGAATTATCATGATAATAATAAGAAGAAGAAGAAGAAGGAGGAGAAGGGAGAAGGAACACCGCATGAAGAGGGAGGCGGGGAGGGGAGAGAAGGAGGGGCGGTGGGACAGCGAGAGGAGACGGGAGGACGGCTTGGGGTGGGAGGGGTGCGGGAGGGAAGGTGAGAAGAGCGACGCGTGGGGTCCGGGAGCGAAGGGGTGCAGCAGGCCGACGCCTCCTCGAGGGAGGGCAGGGCCCGGCGCAGGGAGAGCGCGCGGGGCAAGCCTTTCGGCCCCGGCGGGCGGAGGCCGCGGGGACAGGCCCTGCCGGCGTCCGCGCGGGCGAGGCCGACGAAGCCGAGGGCCTCCACCCTCTGCTCTGGACGCCCGATGCGGGCACGGAGAACAGGGGGCGAGAGGCCCCACAACGAGTGGCGTGCCCCCAAACCGAGAGCGGCCAACTGTTGGGCGGGCGGCTTTCGGTCGTCGCCCGCCGACGTCCGCTGCGGCGCGGGCAGCGAATCCTGTCCGAAACGAGCAGGAACTGCTGATGGGCATCTTGCCCGTTCTTGCTGTACCCATTTCGATCGTCCCGATCTGTGATGAGGTGGGGCGTCGGCGGCGCTCAGGGCCGCGCTGGTGAAACTCAGCGTCAAGTCGAGGCGACAAGCTGCAGCCCTCTGAGAGGCAGGCTCCCTCGAAGGCGCAGCCGTCGTCGTCGTCGACGGCGACGACGACGACACCCCCAGCGCTCCTGAGGCCAGGGACAACACGGGGGCGTCCGCGCCCCCCGGGGGGCCGCGAGAGCTGGCCGCAGCCATTGCGCGCCTTCTCCAGGGCGCCGACCGCGGCGGAGCCCGAGCCCGAGCCCGAGCCCGAGCCCGAGCTGGCGGTGTGACATCGGGGCTTTCGGGTCGTACCTCGGCTCTCTGGCGGCCGTTCGGGACGCTCTGGACACCCCCAGAACGCCCTCGGCGAGGCGCAGCTGCTGACAGGCATCCCGACGCTGGAAAAGCGCCCAGGACCGACGACGATGCCCGCAAACCTCGAAGACTTAGAAACATCGAAGACCCACACGAGCCCGATTCTGAGCACGAGCCCGAGATCTCCGCCTTTGCCCTTCTTCATGGTCCTCGGGGCAGCCCCGACGGTTGCGAGCGCGCGCGCGCCAGAGAGGGCCAAGGCGCAGGTGCCGACTGGCTTACGCACACGCGCCGCGCTAACGCGGCGCTGCTTCGAAGATAAAAAATGCAACGCTGCACCGCGGAGGGCGTGTCTCCGTATGTCCGAAGAAGCGCGAACATGGATTAGCCGCGCGTGGATTCGCGACGGGTCCCGCTTCCGTACGGAATCGGCGCCATATGTCGCCAAATCGGGCAGCATTGCCTCCAGGCTTCGGGGGAGGACCTGCCCCAATCTGTGGATCTGGCGCTCACGCGCCAGGTCCAAGGATTCTTGATTCATGTTAGCGTGTGCCCGAGATACGCAGAAGGCGCGTACACACTAGAGTCGAGGCGCATGAGGATGCACATGAAGGATGCAAGGGCCTTGGAAGGCCATGTCGACACCTTTCGAGAGGGGCGCGGCCAGCGAAAGTGGCCAATGATGACCCGAAGGGAACGATGCAAGGGTAACGATGGAAAGTGGCTCATCCATACTATGAGACCTGACTGCCCAGACATCTTGCTGCTCCACTTTTTCTGATGCGTGGGCCCTAGAGGTCCGGACCACTTCCCCAGACCGGTTGGTCGCCCCGAATGGCTCTTTGACGACCCCGAGGCCCGGCGAGGGCCCCTGGAGGCCCCAAACAGCCCCACACCGCCCGCCCCATTTTTCCCAATTATCCTGTGGTGTTGGGTCTTCGTTTTGAATAGACAGCGCCCCGCGTTCCCTCCTCGCTCCTCCCTCCTCCTCCCACCTCCCTCCTCCGCCTCTGCGCATCTGGCCTCCGCATGTCTCTGTTTCGGCACACCCCTCGCACGTTTCGTGGCCCCATAGGGGGCTCCACCGAAGGCCCCAGTGGCAGGGTTCGCATGGCGGCCCCGCTCCATGTCGGCACAGCCCTCAGTCGCTTCGTGGCCCCATTGGGGGACTCCACCGGAGGGCCCAATGGCAAGGTTCGCATGGCGGCCCCGCCGCATCTCGGCACACACACCCCGCACGTTCCGTGGCCCCATAGGGAGCTCCACTGCAGGCCTCAGCTGCAGGGTTCGCATGGCGGCGTGGCGTCCATTTCGGCTCACCCCTCACACGCCTCGCGGCCCAATATAGAGCTCCACCGAAGGCCCCATTGGCAGGGTTCGTATGCCTTCCTCCGGTTATTTTGACACACCCCTCACATGTTTCGTGGCCCATCGGGAGCTCCGCCGAAGGCCCCGGTGGCAGCATCCGCATGCGTCCCCCAGCCCACTTCGGTACACCCCGCACTCGGGGTTCCCATCCGCGTTGCCCCGTGCTTCGTCCATTTCGCGGCGCGCTGCCTACGATGAGAAGGCAATGTCCTATGTTACTCGCAGCTGCATGTGGTTGGGTCCTTCCCCAGGATAATTTGTTCGGAGCGTCGGGTGTCTGGAGGTCTCCTAGATGGGGTCGGAGTAGATGGGGTCGGAGGATCGCGCCGCATCGCCGAGACATTGGCGACGCATCGGCGATGCATAGGCGATGCGTCGGCGATGCGCCAGCGATGCATCGGCGACGTCGTCGGTGCATCGGCGACGCCGGCGTGGAGAAAATCGGGCTCCACATCGAGCCGCATCGCCGATTCATCGGCGATGCGGCGCTATCCTCCGACCCCATCTATGAGGAGCCGAACTCTATACACCGACGCCGTTGTCTGGCCTCAGACTGAATCTCGCACAAGAAAGCGGATCGTGGTGTATACGGAACCCTGGTGTCTACATTCTTTGTTGTTTCCTCGGGAAAATGGACAAAACAAGTATACACCACACCACCCCGACGTCGTCCCCGACCCTCAAAAAGTCCTGGGATTGAGAAACCGCCCGCCACTGGTAATGTATATGCTCCAGTTTCCGAGTCTACTCGGACCCCACCTAGGAGGCCTGGAGTCTCTGGGTCGGGACGGTGCGCGGGCCCCTGGCTTCTGCCGCGAGGGCGCACGCAGCACCGCAGGCCGCGTGGCTCATGGCCTGGCCCTGGTCGCCTCCGCGCGGCGGGGGTGCACGGGGCGCCCTCTGCGCACACCTCCGGGCCCACCCGCACCGCCTGGGGGGGGAACCGGGGAGCGGCGGAGGAGGAGGGAGGTGGAGAGAGGAGGAGGAGGAGGAGGAGGAGGAGGAGGAGGAGGAGGAGGAGGAGGAGGAGGAGGAGGAGGAGGAGGAGGAGGAGGAGGAGGAGCAGGAGGAGGAGGAGGAGGAGGAGGAGGAGAGGAGGAGGAGGAGGAGGAGGAGGAGGTTTTTGTTCCTCCTCGTGCGATGTGGGCCCGAGGGAGCCAGCGAGCGACAAGCGGCGCCATGCGCAGGCCTGTACAGACGTAGGCACCGATGTTTTGAGCGCTTTACGGGAAATCGGCCAGCTCGCGATTATCGTCGCGCTCTCGCCGCGCTTGGGATGCTGGCCCTTCAGGCACCGCCTCCGTTTGTGCAGCGCCGCCTCGGAAATCTTCCACCCAGGGCGATTTTCGGCGGGGCAAGGGCCCCCGAGACCAGCAGGCTTGCTGGTCGCGTACATGGAGCACTTCTTACAAAACAATAAAGTCTCGCCGACGGGAGCTCCAGGCTTGGCCGCGCGCTCACACCATTCGACGTCGAGGGAGTCTAGAAAGGACCCCACACGGACAAAACTGGGGGGTCGATCCTCGACTCCTCGGCATTCCTTACGGTCGACGCCGGCCTCACGCGTCGTTTTACAACGCAGCCAGCGGACGCATTGCCAGCGACTCCTGCCGACCACAACGAATTCGTGGGCGATCATGGCGGCTGCCACGCGAGAGGCGGGCGGCCTGCGCAGGTCGGCCCATTCCTGCTTCGGGGTGGGGCCCGTGCACAGCACGCGGGCGACCCCTCGAAGAAATTGCTTCATCCTCGCGAGCCGGTCCTCGAGATCGGCGACGAGGGAGGTGGAGGTGCCGTGGAGGCGAGCTCCTAACTTCGCGGCCTTATCGGCCTGGTCATTGAGCCAGGCAGCCCACTCCGCTTCGGAGGCGGGCTGCTCGACGACGTGCACGTGGGATTTTTGTTTAACCAGGCCTGCGTAGGCCTGGTCCTGCCGAGGGAAGGCCCGCCAAAAACCCGCGAACGGAGACGTGGACTTGCCCGCTTGGGCCGTCCCACTCCTGGCCGACCCCAGGACCGAGGAACAATCACCTATGTACGTGCACGTGCCGTCCGAAACTTCGGCGCCCGTGAAAAAACGCTGGTGGCTGGTGCTCGGCGCATACGGCGGACTGCGGCATCCCGGCATGGATCGAGCCGATGATCATGCGCAGGACGCCCTGCACAGCATCCCACTGGACGACGCCCCAACCCGCCCGCACGAGGGAGGTGAGAGGAGAGGTGGAGCAAGACCCATCTCCCGCTATCTTCTCGCCTGGCACAACAACAAAGTCTTTGACTGGCACCTCGCGCTCCCCGATGAAAGCGCGCATTTCTCCACGAGGCGGCTCTGGCAGCCGCGGCGGAGGCGAAGGCAGGCACAGGTCCAGCAAAACCGTGTCACAGAGCGAGCGGCCAGCCTCAAGATCGCCATGCCAGCCAGTCTCCGCCGCGCGGCCCGCCGCGAAGTGCGGGCAGCATCCGACGCGATGGGCGACGGTGTCTGGCACCCCGCAGGCCGCGCACGAGCCGTCCACAAGGTAGCTAAGGTCGCGGGCCCGCTCGCCCGTCAAGTACGTGCCGCCCAGCAACGAGACGATCACGTGGCGTTCCAAGGCGCTGCAGTAGCTCCCCTTGAGGGCCGCCTGGGCTCCCTCCCACCAAATGCCACCGAAGTCCGCGCCGAGGTTGAAACGGCGCCTGATAGCCTCGTCGGCCCGCAGCTCGATCTGCGCCAGCGCGTCGAGCTTGAAAATGCGGCCTAGCTGTCTGGGCGAGGTCTCCAGCGCGCTGATCACCCCCGCGCTGGGAGACCTGAAAGAGGTCGCTGAAGGGGAAGTCCACCCCGCCCAGTGGAGACTGCGGAGCATGGCCCCCGCGGGGCCTGCCTCGCCGAGCTTCCTGTCGAAGCTAGCCGCCGCCGCCTCGTGCGCTCCGCGAAGCTCGGGGAGGCTGAGGACGCGCTCGTTTCGTTGGCGCACGTCCGAGGCTCGCCACCACTCCTCGGCGCACCTCTCGACGGTGAGCACCGTCGCGCGCCCCGGGGGCGACAAGCCTGGCAGCGCTGCCTCCAGGATGTCTGAGGCAATGAAGGGATGGCCAGCCAGCGCCTTTTGCCCTCGCCCTCAGGTCCCCGAGCTCCCGCGGCGAGAAGCCCGAGACTTCGCCCCCCCAGACGGCCGCAGGCACGATGGCGGAATGCCATGTGCGCTCGCAGCCAGCCACCTGCTTGATGGCCCGCAGGGCCTTGCGCAACCGGCGCCTGCCGGCCTCGACCCGCCGCTGCCGAACGGGCCCAGCGAGATGGGCAACGCCGGGCCTGCCGAGCGGCCCGCGCCGCCGCCTCCCAGCACGGAGGTCCACGCCGAGGTGCCGCGCCGAGGCGTTGACGGCGCTGCGCAGCCTGCGCCGCGCGCCTGGCCTGGCGGCCTCAGGCAGCCCGAGGCTCTGGAGCGCAAGCTGGGCGGCCGAGGTGACCTCGTCCGAGCTGCCCAGGAGCGTGCCCTTGGCCGCCGCCAGTGTCATGTCCAGGTCGCCCTCCAGCGCCGCTTTGAGATCGCGGGCTCCGTCCACCAGGGTGGTGGCGACCTCCTGGATCGAGTCCCCGACGACCTCCTGGCTGATGTCGTCGACGTGCACCGCCAGCACGACGCCGACGTGCCCAAGCTGCTGCTGGCGGAGGTCCTCGATGAGGTAGGCCGCCAGGCAGTGCGCGGCGGAGAAGCAGCCCGCCACCACCCCGCCGTCGGGGTAGATCGGCTCGGCGACGAGCCCGTTCATGGTGACGAATCGCTTCCAGCGGAACGCGTTCAGCACCACGCGCAGCAAGTGGGCGGGGAAGCCCGGGCGGGCTGCAAGCCCGACCAACTTGTCGTGCGAGACCTTCTCGAAGGCCTTCGCGAGGTCCCAGCGCAAGTCCACGAAGTGGCGGCTCTGCTCCGCGGCGCACTCCGCCCGCGTCGCCGCCCTCCAGACGCAGTCCGAGACCTTCCCCCCTCGCCAGTGTTGAGGAGGCCCAGGTCCTGCAGCCTGGACTGCCAGCTGCGGAGGCGCCCGCGCTGGCACTTGCCCCACAGCCTGCGCAGGGCCTTGAACTGGCCGGTCGACCTCCTGCCCCCGCCCAGCGGCTCGAGGTACTGCGCCGACAGCAGCTCCTGCTCCGCCGAAGGGGCCAAGCCCGTGACGGTGATCACGTTCAGGAGCCCGCAGTGCCCTCCAACGATTCCTGCCGGCCGAGGTGCCGCGGGTGCACCCCGCCAGGCGTGCAGGTGGCCGCCTTGGAAACTGGCCGCGGCGCGCCCCACGTCGGCGCCGGCGACGACGTAGTCGGCCGCCGTGCCGCACTGCGCGTCGACCATGACGTCCAGAGCGTGCTGCACGGCCAGGGTGGCCGACGCGACCTTATCCACATCCAGAGCCTTCCAGCACGTGCTCCAATCCCCGTGGTACTTGGCCAGTGCCAGGAGCGGGTCGGTGCAGCGGTCGTGAAGCTGCGCCGAGGGGTCGGCGAGCTCGGGAACAGGGTCTGCGGGCTCCTTGGACCAGCGGTGCAGCATCGGTGCACCCCGCTGGAGGTCCTGTCGGAGGGCCTCGCGCCAGTGCGGCGCGCACCGACGTTGGCCCATCAAATACTCCTTGCAAGTCCGAGCCGCCGCAGCCTCCAAGAGTTCCACCGCCAAGCCGAGGTGGCCGCTGGAGGACCGTGGCGAGCGCACCGCCTGCGCGCCGGCAGCAGGCGGCGGCGGCGGCGGCGGCCGCGCGTCGCCTGACCCTGGGTCCGCCGCCAGGGCCTCCGGGGCCGCCGCAGCGCCCTCGAGGCCGGCGAACGGGTCGAGCTCCCCGTCCATGGTGGTCCGCGCGGGCTGCGCCGACGGCGCCGACTCGGCAGCGACGGCCGCGCCAAGCCCAGAGCCATCGGCGGCGCCGGCGGAGCCCCCGGGCGCGCCAAGGGTGACGGCGCGCACCCCTCGAGCGCCCGCCCGCGCAGCGCGTGGTCGAGTCGGGCCCGGACTCGGCCAATTCCCGCGCGGGCGGGGCCTCGCCGCCAGTCTCCAGCGCAGCCCCCAGGCCCGCCGCACTGGGCGCGTCGCGCACCCCTCCTGCGCCGTCGCCCCCGCCCGCGCGGCGCGTGGCCGAGTCGGGCCCGGACTCGGCCATTCCCGCGCGGGCGCCTGGGGGTGGCGCGGAGGCCCCCCCGGCGGCTCCAGCAGCGGTCCCAGCGGCGGCCCCCCGGCGGCCCCGGCTCGGAGCCCTCGTGAGGCCTCGGCAGGGCGGGGCCACAGCAGGCGGCCGCCCGCGTGGGCCATGACCTGGTCGCAGAGCTCCACGAGCGCGGCGGACCAATCCCAGTCGGGGCACCTGTCCACGTTGTGAGCGAAGCGGCCTCCTGCCACGAGGCCCGCCTGGAGCTTCTCGGCCTGGCGGCGCGGGGGCCCCCGACCGCTTAGGCCATCGCTCGCGTCGAACTGCCTGAGCACGCCGCCCAGCCTGGCCAGCGTGTCCGTCAGCCAGCGGAAGCCCCCACTGGCGCGGGGCCGCGCGTTGGCCTTGGTCTCCAAAGCCTCGGCCAGTGGCGCGTCGCGGAAGACGAGGGGGCCGCCCCAGTACACCAAATCCCCCTCCAGCGTGTCGACAACGCCCCCGAAGTCGCGCCGCAGGATCGCGAGCCACTGCCCGTGCAGCCGGTCCACCGCGCTCTGCCTGTAAGCCAATGGTTGTGCCCCCAGCTCACAGTCGCGCAGCAGCCTGGCGCCCTCCACCACGACGGGCGCCCAATCGGGCGGGCACTGCCGAGGCCCGTGAGGCCGCTCCGTCGGCATGCGGGGCGGCCGCCTTGCCACGCGGGCCGTGGGCCAGTCGCCTGCCGCGAGGAACGGCAACTCCACGAGGTCGTGGGTGGGTACCAGAAGCTCTGGCTTGGGCCGCGGAGCCGCACAGGCCAAGCCCAGCCAGCCCCCAGCAACGAAGTAGTCGCGCACCGTGCGCGTGCCGCAGGAGGCGTGGCAGGTCGGCTCAGAGGAGGCAATGGCCTGCACACCCACGGCATTGAACCCGTCGAACTTCGCCAGCTCAGCCGGGTCCATGTTCCAGTCGCCTGCCGCCAGCCATGGCAGGCGGTGGCTGCGCACGTGGGCAGCCAGGGCGCGGAGCGAGTCCAAAGTGCCCGCGAGCCCAGCGCCCGTGACGAGGTTGCAGCTGTAAGCCGCCATCACGCCGAGGTCGGGGAGCCTGCAGAAGGCGCACGTGATCCTGCCTGGCACGATCGTCGCCTCCACGTCATCCCACCAGGAATCGATGTGCTTGCGCGCCAGGATGCCGACCCCGCCACTCGGCCCTAAGTGCTTCAGCTCTGCACGCGCCCCACAGAGCCGCCAGCCGCGGCTCGTCAAGGACCCTTGCGCCTCCAGCAGGCGCTCGGAAGATAATTTCGTCTCCTGCAGGAAAACCAACGAGTAGTCCAGCTCCCGCAGGTGGTCCACCAAGTCTGCCCCCGCCCCCCATGACGTGATGTTGACCGTGGCGAACGTGAGGGGCCGTCTCCCTCGGGCCACCGCTGGCTGCTCACACCCAGCGCGGCTGGCGGCGCGGGCCCCGGGAGCGGGGCCACCGCGCGCATTGCCCGACCGCCTTCTTGACCATCCGCAGGTCGCGGAGGGTCGTGGCCAGGGCTCGCGTGGCCTCAGGGTTGCGGGAGGCCTCCTGGATGAGCTTGACGGCGCCGTCGTCGAGCACGTCGGGCATCTCCTCATCAGGGGGCTGGGCCTCAGGACCAGAAGCAGCAGGGCCAGGAGGGCCAGGCGCCACGGCCAGCTTCGCCAGGACTTGCCCCAGCAACTCGCCGAGAACCTTCTCCCCGCCGCCGCCGGCGCCGAGCGACGCGCCCTGCGGGTGCTCTCGCAAGACCTCCGCGAACACCTCCTTCTGCACCTCGGAGGGGGGCACCTGCACGGGCGCGCGAGCGGCCTCCTGCTCAGGGGCCGCCTTCGCCATCGCCTGCCGCAGCTCCGCCTGCGCCGCAACGACCGCGCTGGCGGTGTTCGCGATGTCGGTCTGGTGCGCTTCCAGGTCGGCCTTCGCCTGGTCCAGCGCCGTCTGCGCCTCCGCGATGCTCTTCTGCTTGTCATCCGTGGCCAAGCGGAGCTTCTCCTGCTTGGCCTGGAGGCGGCCGAGGCGGCTCGAGAGATCAGCCACCTGGGCCTGCGCCGCCTTGGCCTCCATGCGCTCGGCGCGCAAGGCCGCCAGGCGGGTCTCCTGCGCCTGCACGAGCTCGTCGCCCAGCTTGAGCCTCTTGGTCTTGGCGATCTGACTCTCGAGCTCCGAGATCTGGGCCAGCCGCTCGGAGTCTTCGTCGACGGGCTCCTCGGCGGCGGGCTGTGCCGCAGCGGTGCCCTTCGCGCCGCCACCGCCGGCAGAGGCCAGGCTGACTTTGATCGCCTCGAGCTGCTTGCGGAAGGCCGCCATCTCGCTGGCCAACGCGCCCGGGGTGCCGCCGGCCTTGCCACCACCTCCGCCGCCGGGCTTCGTGCCGCCAGCCTTGGCGTGCTGCTCCTTGGCGCGCCGCAAGGCCCCCAGGCGGCGCAGCAGCCCCGCACGCAGCTGCAGACCGTCCTGGAGGCCCAGTTGGCCTTGCGGTCGCAGCTCGAGCAGGCCCAAGAGGGAGTCTTCGGGCCGCGGAAGACGGCGGGCAGCGCCATGCCGCGAGAACTGGACTCGGCAGCGCGCGGCTCGACCGAGGGAAGCGCTTGCTCTCCCACGGGCGACTGCGCCCACGCGAGGAGAGGGCCGGAATGGCTGAAGAGCACGGGGGCTTTGAACCCAAGCTGCGGGGCTCTTAGCCCCCTTAGAGCCCGATCGGGTCCTAAAAGGGCCTTGAGCCAAAATGGCTTGAGCCAAAATGGCTACGGAGGAGGAGGAGGAGGAGGAAGAGGAGGAGGAGGAGGAGGAGGAGGAGGAGGAGGAATAGGACGGAGGAGGAGAGAAGAGGCGGAGGAGGACGGAGGCAGGGAGGGAGGGGGGGAGGGAGGTGCGAGGCCATTTTGTATACACCAACACCGCCCGCAACAGTACT